TTTTCCTTCTTTATGATACTTGCTTAAAGGTTATTCACAGTGCTTAATTGACGGCTTTACCATGGCTGCCTTAATAAATTATTCATAAAAAGTGAAAAAATCCAAAGCAAGGGCACGAACAAAACTCCTACAGATGTTTGTTTTTCTTTGGACTCCTTCGTTGTTTCGTCTATAGGACAAGAAGAATTAAAGAAGCTCAAATGGCTAATTGCTGAATTTTCAATCACCAAATTTTCTTTCTTCATATAATGCATGATTAATTAAAGCACCTTTATTAGTAATTGGGAATTAGGTAAGCTAAAGGACAAGGCCTGTTTCTTTTACCAATCTATTTGTTTCGAGGTTGATAACAAGGAAGCTCTCCGTCACCACATTTTAAGCGCATCATCTAAAAGTGCTTGCCGAAGTTGCTTTTGGTTGAGGACTAATGAATTCCATTATTTTTTCTTTATGGAGTTGTACAAAAAAATGATATGATTTAGTATGGTGCTGGAAAGATGGATCAGAATACCTTCCAAGGTGAATTTGCTCGCCAAGGATCGCAGATCCGAGAGCAGCAACAATGATCATGCATAGAGGGTTGAAGGCACTGACAAATACTGGCCCTCTTGTTTTCATGACCAGGCCTTGCACATAGTATGCAATTCCAGAGCTAACTATTCCCTTCATTAAAATCAGGTTGGCAGTAATTAGCATGTATAACAAATTAAGAAATACTTATATTCTAGAAAGTTTTGCAAGTTAGCTAGGCTGGTAACTTGATTAGCTGGATTTTGATTAAGACTGTGTCCAAACCAATGAAATACTTGAAGCTAAAGGTACTTTTAGTTATGCACATATCAAACAATGCAGAATAACATTTGTTCGACACTCCGTACTTGAGCCTGATAGCACCGAATTATAGACCTGACAAGGCCGCCTAATCTGCTTTTTCCTTTTGATGATTATTTACTTGATTTAGTACATATTACTAAGGGAATATTTGGTACTTACAGTGTACAGTGGAGCAAAAAGCCTAGAGTCCCAGCCTACTGCCCATCCACTAAGGCGATGCTCTACAACTAGGGCAATTGCCAAACTTTGGATAGCACCCGCCAAGCATATCAAGGAGGAGAGAGAGATTTCTGCTGGGTATTTCTTTATGGTAATTGACTGGACCATTGCAGAAAGATAAGTTCATTAATTACCCGAAGGTTAGCTGTATTTTGATCGTTTGTTTCCAAGCATGAGACTTTTTACTGTAGAATACTACAGTTCCAAGCATTAGTGGATGGCATGAAATGCAGCACTTACTTGCAGAACATAGAAACAGGACCAGGCAACACAACCTACAAGGATTAATAGTGTCCCAGCTATCCAGTGGCTATCAGACGAGTCGCCGCTGCTTACATGGTGGCTTGTTTTTCTCGACCATATTAGATCGATTATTGGGCCTTTGTAAAGTGTCATAAGTAAAGCTCCTGAAAGGGATAGAATGGTCCCGATGATCTTCGCTTGACTGCGTACTTCCTTGATCTTAACATGCTCTAATCTGATCAGACGGTTAGAAAGAAAAGAAGGAGGTAACGTTCAATATGTTCCTCTTTTGCAAAGTCTCTGAAGTCATATAAACTTATCTAAGCAAATAATCAGCTGAGAATGGTTGTTGTGGAGGGCAAGGAAGATTTTAGATTTAAAGGATGCTTTTGCTTCACAACTTCAATCAAGTGGTTTAAGAATGCATAAGAACTTCTATTATAATTAGAAGTTTATAGCAGATCTTAGAATCAAACTTCTGCCACTTAGTCTAAATCCATTTCAATCCTTAGAAACTAGCAATCTCTGAACAGACAAATTTGGAGTATGCTTAGCTGAAAATTAAAATGCTGTTATGATTTATTAACCAGAATGAGGACACTGTTGAAATTATTTCAGGATGTCGGTTTCTACTTTTTCTGACAAAGACAATTTCAACAAGTTCGGGTGATTACTGGTGCAGGCTCATATATAGTCTTCTTCTGGCAATGCTTGATGGTGACTTCAAAATTTACTACTATAACTTATATAAAAGAAAATAATAATAAAGCAAAGCATCAGTGTGAAAGAACATAATTAATCTCCAAGGCAAATTTTATAAGTTGACTTCATCTTGAATGATCAAATCATCAGCCAAAGGTGCAGTAAAGCAAGCACCATATGACATTAGTTATTAAACTGCACTTCGTTTTGCAGTTATAGGACCACTTAAATAATGTGTTAACATTTCCATCCATGGAAAATTATCTTCCCAACCAACCATCCAACCAGCACCAAGGTTAGCAACAATTGTATTTGAGGAATAAGTAATAAGTATAATCTTACCGCAGAATGATTGCAATAACAAAAGTGACAGAGGGAACAGCATTCATAATTGCAGATGTAAATGATGCTGATGTGAATTTCATTCCCAAGTAAGCGAAGCCTTGATCAAGGATTGGCCTGTCAACAAAATGTTTTAGGCATCAAAACCATCTCCTTCAGAAAACTTTTGTAGGATGACATGCCATAGAAGTAAACCTGGTCATTGATTTGGTTTGACTCAAGCAGGAAAATTGTTTTATGATTGGAATTTACTTGAAGTTAAAACATAGTTAATGTTAGATCAAGTACCAGTATAATTTCTTTGACCAAAAAAATAAGGTGCAATTTTTTTTTTTTTTTTGCTAAATACATATGCACGTATGTATAGATGCATGTAAGACAAAGGTATGTAAGTTTGTAAATGAGAAACATTACTCTAGAAATCCCAAGGTCATTATTTGTAAGAAGATTGGGAATGTCATCTTCGGCCTTCTTCTCCTGTAGTAAGGGTGAAGAAACAAGAAAGAGAGAAAAACAGCATATAGAGATTAATCCTATTTCCATCAACAAGTAACTGACAACTACTATCTTATGGTGCATGCATGACTACTGTACATGAATGTGTGCAGAGGTGAGACTTTTCTCTTGTGGATTAAGACAGACCTCTCAAGCAGCAGTGCAAAAGGTGCAAGTACAAGTGCAGCAATGGCATTACGATACACAATCAGCACGTAACGGTTCATGCCATGGATCAGTGAAGCCATGCTGATTATGTACATCCCAGCTGAACCAAATTGCAAGCATACCATAAGGAAATAAGGCTTTGCCTTATTGAACATTGCACTTAAAGGTCCGGTGGAGATTTGGTCACTCATCTTGCGCTTTAACTCAGAAAAAGGAGCTTTATCTGATTTGTTGACTAAGAAGAGATAAAACTGCTCTCATATATATAACCCATGTAAAGGACTTAATCATCTCAGACTCTCTAGGGACCCTGAGCCACTTATCTTTAGACACTGATGGTTGCTTTTGCCATCAACCTGTTTATTCAAAGTGTTCAAACTAGAAAAAGAAAAAAAAAATTATTTATCTTCCTTGGAAATAGCATAATCCTTTCAATCTTTGCAGGAGTGGAAGACACAATATCCGGATATGGCTTAGTCTAGTGTTACATGATGATTGCAGAAAATATCCATCAGTCTCTACAGGCATATCAAGAGCATTGCATGTGGGACATGAAAACTGCTAGTTGAGGCAAAAGGTTTGCCAAAAAAATTACTAACTCAAAAGTGGCTGGCATTAAGATATATTGATGGTCTTTCAACATCTGATATATGCAAAATACATAGTTTTCTCTGCCTACACCATGCTTTTTGAGATTCTATAGCTGTAATACAATTGAGCCAGTTTTGAATTTCTGCTAAGTAAGTTCAATTCAGGACAAAAGAATTCACCATATATATGCAATAACTATTTGAGTGTCTGCTAATGAAAATCATATGATTTGAATCCAAGTTATCATTTTCCGATTATGATGAGAGAAAGTCCACGTTTTGCCAAATTGATAAGAAGATTCCAAATGGTAATTAAGGTAAGCTTTGGTAAGGATTTTTGGTATGATCTATGCTGTTCAATCAGCAAAAAACTGTAGAATATTTTAACCTTTACAGTAACATATATATGATTGGAGATTGTCTGATATAATTACCTGGCATCCATATGAGCCAAGTATATTTATTTGGCATTTAAGATATGAAGAGAAACATCAGATTGAGTTTGTATATCAGATTAAAATATTAAGCACTCACTCCAGCTCTCATAACAGGAAAACTTCCATGATTACAATGTACTAAGCAAAACAACAGAAACAATCATAGAAACAAATTCTCTCTTCCATTCTTACTTCCTTTTGAAAGTTAAAATAGACTATGCATGGGCGAATATAATTGATGAAAGTGCATGATGAGATCAGGCCAAAGAAGCCAAGTGCTTCTAGGTTTGTTTTCCAAAGTGGAATTCAGGGTGGTTCTCATCCTCTTAGACACTTTTCACCTAAAGCCAGTCCATGAACAGGACTTAGCTCTTTAAAGCAACAATTTTTGCTTCACAAATTTTATCAGGTCGGCAGCTGACTTCGATATCATTATCATTTCAAAAAGCTTCTTTCCTTCTTTTGTTTTTCCACAAACAAAAGGAGAGAAAAAGAAAAGGGTTGGTGCATTTCTGTGGATTTCTATTTATAAACCTGCCATGATAATGATACAAGGAAAATACAAATCTGCAAATGTCTTAACAAATTTTGGCCTATAGCACTCAGAAATTAAATTGTTTATGCAAAAGATGAACCCCAGACGTTGGGACGTGTCACTTCTTTTTGGTTTGAGAACAAGACTAATTTCATTTATTTCTTTAATTTTCCAATGGTAAATTGTAGCCAATAAGAAAAAGAAGCAATGGCTACCTTGCATAATTCCATTTATTGTTGCTTCTCATTCAGCATGCATGATGTGGACATGAAAGCAAATCCTTTGCCTCAATAATTTGCAACTTTGCATAAACCACTGAATCACATCAATATCTCAATAATAAACTATGAGGCTTAGTTGGCCCTGAGGGAGAAGAAATTGGTCCTATAAGAAAAATGATTAGGACTTATATGTTTAGCAACCAACTCTGTCAAATGCTATTGGTTAATTTATTACAGATCGCATTATCAGGATTGAAACAAAACCAAAGGAGAGGATTTTGTAAGTACAAATAAGATGGCAGAGTCAATCCATGAAGTTGATATATTCCACCATTTTTTTTTAAAGACTAAAAGAGTCATAAAAGAAAGAAAAATTTAGATGCAGGGTTCGACAACCCTTTGCTATTGGCCCATACACTTATCCTAAGTACAATTCTTGCCTTATGGAGCTCTTTTGTCATGTCAAGGCTGAATGCAAAATATGGTCTTAAGTTCAACAGTATAACCAAGCTTGTGTTCATTCTGCAGATTGTTGATAAGACATAAAACTTAGAGTGTTTTCATATCAATCTCAAACTCATTTTCATATCTTAAGGTACCAAATAAGTAAGCCGTGTTCTATATATATAAGTTCAGTTTTGTTATGAAGAATTCATTGATGACAATCTCGTGTAGCCATGGCAAAAACAGACTGGTATTTGAACTGATCTGGTTCGAAATAGGGTAGCCAATTATTGTGCCACACAGCTCAATTTAATTTGCTTTAAGATGCCAAGGGAGCAAGGAACTTATGCAAAAACCAGCTTAAGTCCATGATCAACAAATAGAGTTTGGGAGACCAAACTTGCAAACATGAAAAAGTAACATGTCGCTCGGGAAAATGGGTCAAAAAAGACAGTAAGACTACTTTTCTTTGCTTTAAGCCTCAATCAGCCTTTCCATCGTGCCGTGTAAGAGACAACCTGTTTTTGCATGAGATTTTCTTGTTTGATTGCTTTCTTTCGCTAATGTTTTATTCCATCACTTCTTGAAACATTGTCTCCTTTCAGTAATTGACATCAGAAAATGATGATACTGGTGCCTTTTTCCTTGTCAAAGCCTGTGCTTGAGGGTAGAGAGTCTTAGGACAATGTACAAGTTGAGATAGCCTATAAATCATTTTGGTGGCTTTCAGCTTCCAGGATCCTGAAATGATTTTTTTTTTTTTGAGATAATTAGTGGGAATTCTTCTGATAAACCAATTGGAATCCACTATTTCAGCTATCCTGTAATCCTTCCTGCAACCTGTGGCTGGCAAACAATTGGAGAAGTCATTTCAAAACTATGGTTGAACAAGCCGAAAGCCATTGTACCAACCTTTACAGGCTCTCATCCATCAGAACACAATTGCAAGATCAATTGGTGAACTTGGGCTTTCTCAGTGGAACACTACATCAGTAAATTGCAAATTATCACTATCTCTCAGTTTCAAACAGATGACAAATTGCCTATTCCTGTATTGGCATGAAAAAAAATGGTCAATCAGATCTCCCAAACTATTTGAATCGGATAAGGCTAGATACCGACTCAAATATATTTGTGAGACTTACGTCTTAGACCAAAAGGAAAAAGTATATGAGAAAGTTGCTTGGACTATAAAGTTTGGGTTGCATGATTAAAGGGATGAACGGATTGGCACCTAGGAAAATGATTGGCCTTGTTCCTCGGGTTAGTTCTATGCTGATAACTGATATGGTATGAATTTGTAGCTAAATGATTGTTTTCATTTAATTTTCAAATGCTTGTATGCTTTCCTATAATTAAATACATATGGATCATTTAAAAAAATTAAAAAGAAATCTTAAAAAAATAGGGCATATAAAGTGCCTTGCTGAGATACAAATCATAGAATGCATAGTGCAAAAGTTTTGAAATTAATGTTATTTGCAATTTTTATGCTAAAACCACAATGTAGTAGTTAAGAAAACATTATAGTTGGATTGGGTGAACCAGGGCTTGTGAAATTACTTAGAGAATATAGACACTGATAAAGCAGAGATGACTTCTGTCCTGTTGGTAGAAAGCACAAGGCAATCCAAAGTGGAAAAACTTTTATTTGAGAGGTTGATATTATATTGGTTTCTTTAGAATGATTGAAGTGAGAGATCATGCGTGACTGTTGAGAAGAATGAGCTGCTTTTCCCTTGGTAATGGAAGAGAAGATACCAAAGGGGTGCGTGCACGACATGTTACTGAACCTGACAGTTTATCATATTCCGTTGCCAGATATGATGAGAATGCGAGGATGAAGACCATTCAACTTTGCAAAGATGATCAACCCTCGACTGGTAGTTACTTATCATTCAAGATGACAGGTCAAGAATCGAGACAAATCTACTTATCTTGACCCTCCAGTTTATTGAACACTACACCACCTGTGAAAATGCTCTATGCCCCAATCAAACATATGGTCAAGTTTCATAGAATCTTGCTAAAAGGACACAGCATTGCTGTAAAAGATAGAACCTCTCTCAACATGGAAGTTCCTATTGGTGCAAAAGATGCATAGTGGGAATTGGAATCAGTCAGGTAGGTTCTCGATCCAGTCACTTGCAACAATGGTAACCTACTTTGAAGTAATATTCAATTCCTTGTTATCTACTTTCTTCTAGCACATGAGAAAACCAAATAAAGGCATAAGATAAGGAAAAGAGCACAAATCAATCAATCGGTGCAATAGCTCTATACCATTTTGCATAAAGTCATATATCGATGGTAGTAATCCTCTTCAATGACCAGCGACAGCTGCAGGTGGCTTGAACTCTTCATCTCTTGTACCATCCTTATCATTTTCTTTTCCTTTTTGGTGCAACGAAATGCCCCTATTGGTACCCACTAGACCAAGATATTGTTAACATCCACATATGAAAAAGATGAAATGAGGACAAACTTGATCCCGCACCATAGAAAGGCAGGAGTTTAATAGCAATCAAAGCAGCCCAAGTGCACGGATTGCTTGGGGCCTTTAAAACAATAGACTAGTCAAAAGTTGTAAAAATGGTATGAATATGACAATAAAGAACCATGATTGAAGCAATTTTTCGCTTTTATCTTTTTCCAGACCCTAAAGTGGCCTGCTTTTGTTACATGGAATTAATAATATAAAGGAAATGGAAAGGGATATCTGTTTATCAGAGCAAATCAGAGAGATGACGGCTAGATTTTTGCTGGACCTAGTCAAACTTAGTAAAATGACATAATATATATCAAAATCATTTTCCTTCATAGTTGAACATATGCGTCAGTATCCATCATATAACAAAAAATTACACAGAGACCTCTTACTGTCTAAAAGCAGCGGATATCTTCTTTTGGACGAGCTCCACCCCAAGTCGAGGAGATAATCTAGGCAGTATTTCCTGAAAGACAGGTTGATATTTGTGTGAGATGTCTTCTTCAGCACTGATCCATATAAAATGCACATTTTACTCCCAAATTTGTATAGACCAGTGCAAACGTAGCTCCATGGGAAGAGAAAGATGATCAAGTTTAAATATCCTTATTATAACCTAATTTTGTCAAAAAAGATATCTTCTTAACATGTTATACTAATATTTAAAACCTTGGTTTAAAAAGAGCCTCAAGCCACTTCTGGCATTATCGGCCACTACATTTATATCCTAATTAATTTTTTTTAAAAAAAGTAGCATTATGATTTGATGGTCAACAAGATTCCACTAGCTACTCAAAAGCAACAACATAATCAGAAACTTTTGACAGAACTACATTCATGAAAAGATCAGGATGTCTGATGAAAAAGATGATAAGTATTAAAATGTTGTGATGCAAAAGAGAATCTGCATCTCTATGAATCTGTACCACACATATGCACAGGATGAACATGATTGAAAGATGTGGTGCCTTGTTAATGCAATAGGGAATCTGCATCTCTAAATACCATCCATGTATGAAAGGGAGTTATTCCACTATTATATTAAATTTATATAGATTAGATTTGGGGGAAAAAAACACCAAAATGCAAACCAGGGGTCTTGCTCACCATGAAAACAGTAGTAGTGGAAGAAATCGACCAAATAAAAGAGGGAAAGAACAATGAGCGTTAAAAATTTATCAATATTGACAACCTCATCCAAATTCTACATTAATAATAAAAATTCCCTGGCTGGAGTACCCAGACAGTCTATCTTAATACCATCTGATAAAGTATTTTACCTGTGACGAATGCAGAAATCATGTTCCTTAAATAATTCTAAGACAGTATTTGGGGATTACCAGCTAGTTTTCCCTGTGTAAGCCTTTATATATTCCTCCAAACATGCAACCAAAAAAAATTTCTAAAAGAAAATCCCAAATATATAAGACGAAGGTCCTAAATATGTTAAAAAATAGGAATTGACTTCAAAGATGAAATGTAAGACTACAGAGAAGTTCTTTGCAATTTTTTGAAATAAAATAGACTTTTAAGAAAATACTCAAGTTATAATAATATGTTTTATGTAGACTCTTTGTACTAATGATAGTGGTTACTCTAAATCTTTCTACCAAAGATGAACAAAAGTAAGTCTGCCTAAACCTTATTACTTGTTCTACAGATCCAACCCTAACAATTACACAATATCACCTCTAAAAAACAATCTTTGAAGAACAAGTGATTGCTCCTTTCAACCTTTAATGACAACCTGAGAATGGACGAACTAGCCCAATCGGCGCTCATCCTTTGTTCATAAATGATCTACTTACCTTGAAATGACATGGCTCAACAGAAAATTCCAAACTCTACTAGGCCTTTTACTAATATCCAACAGAAAAGCCCAAAGTACAATATTCTGAGAGCTTAAACTATGTGATCCACGAAGAAATATCACTCAATCATAGAATAAAATCCATTTTACAGAATATAAAGAATACCTTGGTTTTGCCCAAAGAAGCAATATCACTCAATAATAGTCTAAATTAGTTCCACCTTTGCCACCAAAGTCATACCCAATAATCAATTTAGCAACTGCACTCCAATTAGGTTCAATAACTGATCTAACTTTATTTACTGGAATATATAGCAAGTGACTGAATTAAGTAAGAAAAGAAAAAGATCATATTTGAGAAAATTGTATATATGGTTATCTAAATATATCTTTCATCCCTTTAACTTTATTTTGTTATACTTATATACTGCTAATGGGACAGCACAAGTGCTTTATACAATAAAAATTGAGACACAAATATTTCTGGCTAATTCCATACAGATGATATATCCAAATAAAATGCACAATTAGACAATCATATCTGCATAACAATTTATGTTCTATGCTTTACGTATTATTATTGCTATGATTGAAATTTAGAAGGTTATCCAATCAAGAAATTCCATAAATATATCCAATTATAGCCCTTCTGGATATAAAATACATATCCTCTTTCACTGTTTCCATAGTTTAAGTGGTAAAGATATGTAAATTAATTAGGGCCTTATTCAATGGTTATGATTCTACCATATACACCTTTTTATGTTAAAAATGCATTTTATGTATAGACACTTACGACTTCTTTCTATTGTATAATCAACAGCAAGCTTCTCAAAAAGATTTCGGTAATGTTGAACATAATCAAGATCATAAGAAAGAATCATTTTGATTAAGCTACCAACTTTTAATTTAAACATGTAATCACTCACAAGGAAGTAGATTCTAGATGCATGCTATACCAAAAGACATCTCTTGAAGAAACTAAGCGTTGTAGCTGAATTTAGGTAACGGAGGGATCTAAAGAATAACCCATTTCAAGAGAACCAGTCTTTATAATATTGCTTTAGCCACTTGCCCTAATAGTTTCTTTTGCAAATTTTGCTTGACAGTTTCACATGTTGCAGTTAGGGAAAAGGTCTCAGAATAAGAGACATCAAACTTTTATTAAGTTAATCGGATCCACAAGATGAGATGACCTCCTTTGCTAAAGGTTTCTCTGGAGTGATATGTTACAACACAAACCATGATAGGAAACTAAGCCAGCAAGGTAGCAAAAAAGGCCCACGTATATTGAGCTCCAACCACTTCATTTTCATGTAATAAAGGATAACACTAATAAATATACACAGACATAGACCAATATGGTTAGAGCAGAGTTTTATACATGACTATGGTGATCTTGTGATAATAAAGGATTCTACTAACTGCTAGCAATGCTAAAATATTTCCTTTGGCTGCTTTTACCTGAATCTACCTTAAATTGCGATGGTGTATAGGTCAATGAAGACTTGAGCCAGTGTTGCAAGGAGATGCCCAAGCAAGAATGAGAAACTTTGTGAGCGAGTTATTTTTACACACAATTGCCTCATCAGGCTTAATTGGCTAATTATCTACTGCAAGAAGAGTTAGCTGTTGAATCCACATTCAAGATGACATATAGACAACCCGTGTAACAGTTTTAGAACCTTGTAATTCTTGTGGTGCAACAAAAGTTGCTCAATAGGAATTCTTACCAACAGAGGAGATTCTGTCTGGTACATCATGTATGACTTAATGTAACTTTGTGGTGCTAAGATAATGGTGAAGCCCTACAATTAATAATGCATTAAGTTTGACAATAAATTGCATGTCTAGAAATACAGAATTAGCATATTCCTTTATTACCAGAAATGTTTATTATTTACAAAGTGAAATAGCTTATTATACAAAAACCTATCTATATCTTAGTAGTTAGTACCATTATGGGTAGCACATTCCCCAGCATAGATCTTAAGTGTACAATGCATTTAAATCTCATGTAAAATGTGGAAAATTGTCAATTAAGCTGCTACTCCTAAAATAAAAAAACTATGACTTTGTAGAACAATTATAAGGAATGGAACATAATGACTACTCCGCCATATTAATGCAACTGTAGAGCACATTTCTGAAGAGCAAAATCACCCACTTCAGAGTTACAATGCTATTGCAAGGTCAAAAACAATATCAAGCTACCATGAAAACAATAATACTGGGAAAAGTCCTCCACCAAGAACGGAAGACGAGAATAAAATTTTAAAAACTTGTGTTTCTATTGGTTAAAGATTTGACAGCCTTCTCCACAACATTCATTGATGCAAAGCTTCCTCAGCTAGACTAGTGATGCAGTCTACATTAAATCAGAACTCTAATAATGCATTTCCTTTTAGGAACCTATGCTTAGAATGGGAGTAACTTCAAAATCGACTATTGTTGGGATATGCATCTAGCTTCTACTAAGGCATCACTCGTAAAGTATTCCCCAGTTGTTTAACAACCTTTTTAAAAAGAGACCAAGACTGCATCTTCCTATTGTCACGGCAGCTTGCTTCTCCAAGTACTCATAAGTTGACCATGTCTCTAATCCCAATATTTTCTTTCTTCATCTTTAGACTTCAGTGACCCCTATCCCAAGTGAGCTTGCTTTAACACAATTCATAACAAAAAAGTTAACTTTGCAATGTTCTAGAATGAAACAATCCTTGATGAATTCTTTATCTAAGACTAACACTATCAATAATACAAGTTTACAGGCACTAATATTAGCTTTAAAAAACACAAAAACTGACAAAACCAAGAAAAAAGCAAATAGAAAAAAATCTAACCTCGGTGCCATCAGAGAGTACTTTGGCTAAAACAGGTATCTCATACTGGTATGCCTTCTCCCATTCAGGATTGCCGGTAATATCCCTCACCTACCAAAAAAAAAAACCAAACAAACAAAATTTTTGAAGTTTCAATCTTTACAGAAGTATAGGTTGAGAGTGTGATGTGGGGAGTTACCTGTAAAGTGACGTCGTGGAGCGAGTCTGGGCCGGAAAGTGAAAAGGCGGCCTGGAGTTTTTCTTTGAGGCCATCGCACAAACAACACCCAGGCTTTGAGTAGAGAACCAGCTTTCTTGCTCTGGTTGCCGAGGAACAAAATGACAAAGGAGTGAAAACCCGTTTGAGTTTATGCCTGGGATTGTGAGGTATGGATAAAGATCTTGCCGCCGTTGTTGCCATCGTTCCCACTCCTTTGGATAGCATTTTGGCAAAGCTCACGAGTCAGTCAGTAAGTCACCAGCATTTTATAGGTTTTGTTTTTGCTTCTGGGCCCAAAGGTTTTCTATCATACAAATTTTCTTTTCTCTTCTTTTTAAAGTATAATTTTTAAAGAAGTTATTCTGTCTGCGTGAGATAAAATAAATTTTTATGATTAATTTATATTTATTTTGTAGTAAAATATTTTTTAAAAAATATTTTTAAAATTTATATTTATTTCAAAGATAAAAAATTAATTTTAAATGTAAAATATTTTAAGACTTTAATTATGAAAAATATTTTATGTCTGTCACATTTTGTAGAGAATAACACAAAATATTAATATTTAAATTATACAATATTATTAAAATTAAAAAAATATTTTTTAAAATAAAATAAATATTACTAATAATTATAATAAAAAATATTTTAATGATCATCATTTAATGAATATATTTTTATAAGTATAGGTTTTGAATGTTTTACATAATTGATAAATATTTATATTTTTATAGTTATGATAAAAAAGTAATATGATAGAAAATTTTAAAAATTGAAGTTTATTTTCATTATAGATATATGGTTAAATGTTTTAAAAATATAATTATTGATTTTGTTCATTTTCATTTTCATTCTTAATTTTGATCTCAAATAAATAAAACTCAAATATTAATATTATTTTGTAATCAGCTTATATTTATTATTTTAACACCTAATAACTCCATTGTGATAAAAAATATTTTTCATAAAATGATTCAAACAACAGAAAATGTTTTCAACAATTTATCCAAATAACAAAAAATATTAATTTTTTTTATAAAATATTTTACAAAGAAAAAATTATCAAATGAATTTTTAAAGTTAATTTATCATTTAGTGACTTTTACATTAAAGATAAAAATATCACATCACCTTATTAAAAACATTACGTGATCTTATCATTATTCATATCACAAAAGTGTCGAGTATCATAGAATACTAATTACATTTGAATTAACAAAGTTAAGAATAAATTAACTATTAGTCATAAATATTCATTTAACTCAAAATAAATATATATAAAAATTTAATTAAACAAATAAAAGAATAAAAATATTTTTAAATAGCTCAAACAAATTTTTAAGTATTTTGCTCAAAATTTAAATATAGCTTTTTCGTATGACTAAGATCAAGTGCATTACGTGTCAATAAAGCTTCAAATTTTGACGGTTGAGATTTGAGGATACAACATGGAAAACATCATAAATAAAGCAAACCATTGTTTGTTAGTCTATCATTTATATGATTAATGTCAGTTTATCTCTTCATTATGTTTCAAATTATAATTACGAAAAATATTTTTAAAACCGATATATTTGCTTAAATTTTACACAACTGAATCGGGCTGAAGTAAAAAGGGATGGACGAAACATAATTATCATGGTTGGAATGGGTTTGTGCTTTTTTTGACTAGTTTTTATTTCTATTTTCCAGGTGCAAAGAAGATCTCAGAGGAGGCATTCAGCAAGAGCTTGCAGTAGTCGATACACCAGTATCCGAAACAGAGTTGGAGCTACAGCAATGACGGCAATCATTGCCTTAAACATGGATGCAGGGTCATGCTCCCAGCCTCCCCACAATCATGACATTCACTTTCTCTTCCTATGTTCGTTTTTTTCTTTTTCTTTCTCTCAATATTGCATTCAAAATTTGTCCATCTATGGAGATCTTCCTCCACACCACCTCCATCTTCACTCTCAAATCAGAAGGAAATGAAAGAAGCCCTCTATGGTACAACAACAAGAATGTAGTGTAATCTATCCCTTTTTTTTTGTGTTTCTGTTCTTAAGACTTTGACAAGGATGTAGTGTATTTAAGTTTTATAATCTAGATGAGCTTCTTCTTTAGAAAATAACGCTTCAAGTGCCATAGCTGGACAATTGAAACCACGATGCAGACACCAAGAGACATGATACTGAACCATGCCACTCTTGCATTTGTTCTTTCACTGACTTCCCTCATCTCTGCTTCTCTGTAGATATCCAGGAAATAAAGACAAATGTTATTGTAAGTCCTAGTTACAACCAAACCGCACTTTTGAATCATGTATTTTAAAGAGTATCATCTAAAATTCCCCTCCACAGAATATAATCGAAAGTCAAAAAATATTCTCAAAAGAGCTATTTTGAGAAATTATGCGACTTAGGACCCTGCATAAGAATAAGAAAGAACAAAGCCCAAGGGAAGCAAACACCTCATTTATTTTTCCCAAATGAATCACCTTAGCAGCCAAGTCAAAAAACGTCTACTTGTTTTTTGCTTCTGGCACTGCAGCCAAAATGATTTCTTTACTCTCATCATTGAATACTTCAAGATCTTTAGTCCTACTGTGTTAGTTGTTCTGGTGGTAAACCAAAATCCTGCTTCTTTTGACATTTTATTTTTAATCTTCTTCCAATAAAAGCAGCAAGTTCAAGAATATTAAGAATGAGAACTGAAAGATCAGAAGAATTCAAGGGATATGGACATCAAAACCCAAGAATTTCATGGTGGAAAACCTCTGTCCGATATCATCATAAGAAGAGAAGAGTACCTGTCCTTGAGATAGATTAGGTTACCACGGATGGCTTCCACTGCTCCGTGCAGTCTCCTTAGGACAAGTTCAACACCCTATAAAAAGCAATATAATAAAGCATATGGGAATAGAAACCAAGTCTCAATCGGAACTTCAATAGAGAGGGTGCATCAAGGATATTACCTCTATCTTCTCCTTCTTTGCAACTGATTCCCAATCCTTGGCAGCAATTCCAATTTTCCAGTCAAGGCCCAGAGTTAGTTCAGCATCCTGTTGATGACTGCCATCCTTCCAGAAACAAGCCAGATAGTTGCCTGTCTCACTAGTTGTAAACGCAAACTGACCATGAGTTGCATTTTCATTGTGGTGAAGATTGTTTCCAAAAGGAGATGTTACCTAAAGGATGAGATATGAGCCTGTAAGCTGAGTATAAATTACATATATCTATACATGCATCACCGTTATAGTTGAAAGAACAAAATTTGTTCAAACTATTGACAGATGGGAGTGACTTTTCGTAACAAATGCCAAACATATAAAATCTGTGATCTCAAGGCAAGGCACAAGGATAATCGTCTTCTTAGTTTTCCCAAAACCATTGAGAAAAAGGTTTATTAGAAGAGCCATTTCATGTTCTCTACCTATGTAATCCAAGGCTTCTTTGGACCAGGAACAAAGTCTACTCTCTATTGCTATAGATGTTCTTCCACATCCTTATTTCAAAAACACAGCTTATACGAAATACCAGATAAGGGCACCTTCATTCTTTCCCCTACCCAGTTGAGGAATGCTCTCAAGGTTTGGTCATCCCTTTCACCCTTTGCCATCCATTCTTTTCACATATTGAATTCTAACAACTTCAAACAGAGCCAGACCAAACATCTAGCACTCTTCTGATTTTATCACACTAGTATTAAACTTGAGATTTGGTTTCTCAAAAGTAAAGGTAGACTAGCAAATATGAAGCTATTAAATATTAGGGTCAGATAATTAACTGTCAAGCAGACTTATCAAACAACTACACTGCTTAAGACAACTGATTTTATCACACTAGTATTAAACTTGAGATTTGGCTTCCCAAAAGTAAAGGTAGACTAGCAAATATGAAGCTATTAAATGTTAGGGTCAGATAATTAACTGTCAAGCAGACTAATCAAACAACTACACTACTTAAGACAACTATTTTTAAAAAAAGGAGGGACTATTTTCAAACAAGAAAGTAGTTCGGTAACACAAAGAAGTATCAAATGCAACAGTAACCTCAATGTTATACCAATCAATTCTATTTCATTTTTTCCATTCCTATAAGCCTATAACTTTACCAAACAAAAGAGTTTTCCTTTGCCCCTCAAGATTTTTCCACAGAAAGCTGCAAGGGCCCCAAAAAATAATGAAGGTTAAATCTCTCCTGCATATTAAAAAACTATATGAAATCGAAGGGGGTGAGGGGAGAAAGAGAGGTGGTAATGAACTTTAAAAGTGTAATATCTCACAATCCAAGAAAGGTTCACATCTCTCGAGCCTCCCAAATACTTGAGCCGCCATAAATTGGCTTTGACTGAACAATAAGAAGCTCAACTACTCCATTATTTCATTTCATACAGGACTTCTCCACCACTACAATGCCTCTTAAACAAAATTCTAACTGCCAAACTTATTTTGTCATCATCTCTTTGATTTCAACCATATATACAAAAATACCTTAACCCGTCCTTGAGCATCAGAGAGTAGATTCCTATTCTTAGTTGGCCAAAAAATCTCCCATTCATAGGAAAAAGGGAGATCATGATTTTCTCTTGGCTATGGCTTGCCCTGGGGTAAGATACAAGTTCTAGACATCCTTGACACTTACCAAACGATGTAATCTAGATTCTAGACAACAGTGGCAGAATCAAATTCATAATAGACCAAGTCAAAAATACCTATAACAGAAAAGCCGAACATTAAAAACAAAAAAGAAGCAGAATCAATATTTTCTCCAAAGCTAAAACAAACAGAACAAGACCTTCAATAACAAATATCTCACACAGATAGATAAGCAGAATTGAACTTTAAAACCATCAAAAGCTCACATCCCAACAAAAAGCATATACCAAAATCACCATTTAAACCAAATAAACCGACAAAAAAATTTGAGAAAGAAAAAAAAAAGAAAAACCCTGATGAACCCAGATGGAGATTTTGGTAGTTCGTAATAAAAATGGTCAAAAAAAAGGGTAAGGAAAAGAGATACCCGGGCAGAGACAGTGGGGATGTGATCAGGGTTGTTTTCATCGACGACATAGTAGTCAGCTAAAACGACAACGTTGCTTTGGATCTCCTCCGAAACACACTTGGTTCCTGAACTTGGAATCGTTAACCATAGAGCTTCCGCAACTGGCAAAATATTACTGTTACTCGTTAAACATAGTACCAAGATTAGTGGCAACAACGACACCGCACGACCACCGAAAAACATGCTTTTGGCGTTGGTTATCGTTCCTTCCCCTTCGTCTCTATTCTCTTTCTTTTCTCTGGGTTTTCACCTTTTTACATTATTAGTCATATAGTTGTTGGGTTTGTTGGCAAGGCGTCAAACAGTGGACAGTACGCGCCATGAACTGGCAGTGGAGTTTTGGTGCCTGGGTAATGGAGGGGAGGGTCGTCGGTTTGACGCAAGAGATAGAGTGATCGTCCAATCATGTTCGAGCCGAGGAATCCTAGTAGGAATGGAAGTGCAACGTCCGAGTCCCCGCCCACGCGCTGCTTGTCTTATTTCTTTAATCACAAATACTTCACTTTTTTTTTTTGCTTTTTTGCTAAATTTAGAAATTTAATCGTGATTCATCATAATTGCTCAAAATTAGTAATTAATGATAAAAGTTTAATAAGGGGAATTCAATTTTAATAAATTTTATTTTATTTTTTGTGACTTAAGTTTGAGTTTATTATTATGGTCAAGAAATGAGTAATTATAGGATGCCATTTGATGGAAGTATACGAGCCCTCAATTACAAATTTGTATTTTGAGTATTGGACAAAAAGTTTGGTAATTTGATTAACTAATGTAAAATTAAGAATAATATGAATGTGTGACTCTAATTTGGATGTTTTCATCTTAGAGTCTTAAACTAAATATGTTACTATAAAGAGGTTTACAATTTTGATTGATATTCCTTTTCTTTTTAATTTAAATTTGACTGATATTAAATTTTTATGAAAGATAATGTTTATTTTAAATACAATATTTTCGCTTGCCTTCAAATATAAGGATCATTTTATAAAATTAACATTATATTCCTGTTTAAAGTGTTTTCAAACAAAATATAATGATTTTTCTAAAGTTTTAATAAATATTTTTCTATATATATCAAATCTTGTAATATTATTTTTCTGAAAATCATCTTTCTTATAATTACATTTTTAGTAATCACAATTTTAAAAATCACTAAAACCAAAAACAGTCATAATGTTGACTCTTTGGAAATACTTTGGAAGGCATATCACATAAGTTTTAAGAGTTTGAATGTATTTAACATATGTAAGTTTAATATAAAACCATAAATTAATATTTTTCTTGAAAAGTCATAGATTAACATTTAAATAAAAAAAAAAGATGTTCTTCTTATATTCTTTTCATTAGGGGGAAAAAGTTAAAAGAAGATTATTATCTTCATAGAAAATCATTTTTTTTGTATGGTATTTGTGGAGAATTCTCACAAGTAAACAAATTTCTAATGATTGATTAGCAATTTGTTTCAACAATACATGGTTATTATGTGCATAGATTATATTTAAATTTATTTTCTCAGTTATTCATTTTATTTTTTCGGTAGAACTTGAACTTGAATTAAAAATTTTTAAAAACTTCTTCTTACCATTAAAATAAAGTTTTATTACCAAAATCTTTCCTTGGTACATTGCCAAATACGTACGATAACATATAGATAAAAGAACAAAAAATCTTCCACCAAAATTCTGTCTTCTTCTTCTCCAATCTTTAATTTTGTTTATGGTTTAATTGATTCACCAAGTTGAACGAAGCTTTCCACACAAATCTCCACAAGAAAGGTTTTAACATTGTTCAACTGAGGAAGGTCGACCTCCTCGAGCTAATTCTTTTTTAGGTCGTACCATAAAAACGATGAGGCGCCGAATAAGCCAAAGGCCTCAAAGGGTATACATGAGGCGCCGACGGTATACTTCATTGGAAACTATGCAGTATCGTCCAAGACTCTTTCACCCTATAATCCTTCATCGTCCATATATTAACTTTGTCGTTGAAACAAGTCGTAAATATGCAAAGACATTCTTGTAAAGCCCTCAGAACCGCGCTATATGCATTGCGTTCCTTGTTGCCGACCAGCTCTATTTGCTGATATTTCTCAGTTCCAACATCAAAGGCAATGATGCTGCCGGGACATTCCCATTCTCTTTCTTCAACTGCAACCCAGTGTAAAACCCCACAAACAAATGTAACTGTTACGGAACGGTTACAAAAATACTAAGGGAAGACGAAATTAGTTAATTTTTATTGAAGAAGTTAAAAGTTAAAAAAAATAAAAATTAAAAATTTTTAAAATTAATATATTGAATTTAATCATTAATAATTAAAATATTTATAATATATAATAATTTTATAATATCTAAATAAAAAAAACTTATAATAGTGTTCTAGAAAAATTTTATTCGATAATGACAATAGTCTTTTTAATATAAACAATTAAATTATTTGTAAGAAACTTATCATCCATTTTATTTCAAAGTTTTACCTTTTTCAATATAAAGGATTAAAAAATTAATATAGTCAACATTTAATATTTTTATTTTATTATATTTAAGTTTATAATACTAAATATTAAACTATAATATATAAAATATAAATAGTTAAATATGATATATATAATTAATATTTTTTTTATACTCAAGATAATTTTCTTTCAACTAAATATAAAACGTAAAGCACATTAAAAACATACACTCAAAATAATTTTTTCTTATATAATTAGGATTAATAAAAATAATATATTACTAAAATTTTAAACAATAACCAATAATGCAACACTAGAACCTATATTTGAGAATTACATATACAATAATTTTTTAATTTTTAAAAATTAAAATTATTAAAAATAAAATTCACATAACAAAAAATAAAAAATTATGACAAGTAGAAGATATAACTTATAAAACAAAAAAAAAATATGGTAGATGATTCGTAGAAATTTAAAAGAGAAAATCTATAGA